TCTTTGGATTCACTGGAGAGTATATAACTCCATTGCTAATACTAGCAAAGGGGTACTCTTTTGCCCCCTTCTGATGCCTATGTCAGAAGCTTTCTCTATCTCCTTTATACTTTAATAAAACTTTATTACACAAAAGCTCTGAGTGATCCAGCCTCGTCTCTGGCCCCGGATTGAATTCGTCTCCTCCGGAGGCCAAGAATCCCGTGTCTTATCGTCTTATCGTTCAGCAACAACCTTTCAAAAGTGATCACACATGCCTAGGGAAAGGCTCAGAGAAGACCTGAGAAGACATTAAGTTTGCACCTCAGACCAACTCTCAGCAAAGACAGCCTACAGCAATCAAGAAACCAAATGAACAAATTAAAAAATACAGCGAAACCTGGGGAAGGAGGAACATCTGATTTCCAGAATGAATTCCACATTATTAGATTCAAATGGTCAGAGTTAAACAACAACAAAAAATCACAAAGCAAACGAAGAAGCAGGCAAGTATGGACCAACTGATGGAAAAAATAATTCAACAGAATCTTTCCTTGAAAAAGCCCTCATGGCAGATATACTATCAAAATTTTAAAACAACTATCTTAAAGGTGTTCAAAGAACAAAAGAAAGATATGGAGAAAGTAAGGGAAATGATGTGTGAACAAAATGGAACTATTAATAGAGATTTTAAAAACCTAAAGAGAAACCAAAAGGAAATTCAAGGACTGAAAAGTACCATAACTGAAATGAAAAATTCACTAGACAGATTGAAAGGCAGAAGAAAGAATCAGAGAACCTTAACATAGGACAACAGGAATTACTGAGACTGAAAACGAAAGGAAAAAGATCGAAGAAAAGTGAACACAGGCTTCCCTAGTGGTCCAGTGGTTAAGAATTCACCTGCCAACGCAGGAGACACAGGGTTCGATCCCTGGTCTGGGAAGATTGCACATGCTGTGGAGCTACTAAGCCCAAGAGCCACAACTACTGAAGCCCACACACCTAGAGCCTGGGCTCTGCAACAAGAGAAGCCACGGCAACAAGAGGCCCTTGAACCACAACAATGAGTAGCCCTCGCTCGCTGCAACGAGAAAAAGCCTGTATGTAGCAATGAGGACCCAGCGTAACCAAGGATAAATTAAAAAAACTTTTTTTTTAAAGTGAACAAATGGGATGGGGAGGGAGGTGGGATGGGGGTTCAGGATGGGGAACACATGTAAACCCATGGCTGATTCATGTCAAGGTATGGCAAAAACCACTACAATATTCTAAAGTAATTCACCTCCAATAAATAAATCTTAAATAAAAATGAACAGAGTCTAAGGAACCTGTGGGACACCATCAAGTGGACATCATGAGAGTCCAGCAGAAGAAAATGAAGTAGTGAGAATATTAGAGTAATGGGTGAAAACTTCTCAAATTTGATGTAAAACATAAATGAAGGTGAAAGCCGCTCTCTCAAACCTCATGGACCTACACACTCCATGGAATTCTCCAGGCCAGAATACTGGAGAGGGTAGCCTTTCCCTTCTCCAGGGGATCTTCCCAACCCAGGATCGAACCCAGGTCTCCCACATTGCAGGCAGATTCTATACCAGCTGAGCTGCAAGGGAAGCCCAAGAATACTAGAGTGGGTAGCCTTTTCCAGCAAATCTTCCCAAGCCAGGAATTGAACCAGGGTCTCCTGTGGATTCTTTACCAACTGAGCTATCAGGGAAGCCCAAGACATAAATATGAACATCCTAAAAGGTAAATAAACTCCAAGGTAGGTTGACTCAGAAACCCAACCCAAGACAGATTATAAATAATGTACACTTTCAAATGCCTAGACAGAGGGCAAATCTTGAGAGTAGCAAGAAAGAAGTGAACCACCACATACAAGGGATTCTCAGTAGGATGATGAGTGGATTTCTCATTAGAATATTAGAGGCCAGAAGATAGTAGGTTAGTATACTTAGTGCTAAATGGAAAAAGCTCAACCAAGAATCTCATATCCAGTCAAACTGTCCTTCAAATATGAGGGAGAAATCAAGACATTCCCAGGTAAACAAAAGTTGATAGACTTTATGACCACTAGACCTGCACTATAAGAAACCCTCCAAAGTAAAATAAAAAGCACACTGGAGAGTACCTTGAAGCAATACAGAGGCCTAAAGATCTCAATAAAGGTATATCAGCAATTGGAAAAGCTAATACTAATATAACAATGATTTTTAACTGCATTTGGTTTTTTACATTCTACAAGATAATACATTTAAAGAAAAAATTATAACGACTTCCCTGGTGGTCCAGTGGTTAAGAATTTACCTTCCAAAGCCAGGTACCCAGGTTGAATCCTTGGTCCAGGAAGATTCCACATGCCAAGGGGCAACTAAGCCCATGTGCCACAGCTACTGAAGCCCACACACCTACAGCCTGTGCTCTGCAACAAGAGCAGCCATCGCAATGAGAGGCCTGCACACTGCAACTAGAGCGTATTCCCGTCTGCAGCTAGAGAAAGCCCATGCCCAGCAACAAGACCCAGCACAGTCAAAAACAAAAAAAATTTCAGAAAAAAAGAAAAAAATTGTTACTGTAAAAGTATTATTGTAACTTTGGCTTGTCACTCCAAATCTTGTTTTCTACATAATTCAAGAAGCTAATGTAATTAAAAGAATGATGATGTTTTGGGTCCATACAATATAAAAAGATGTAATTCTGTGACACCAAAACTGAGAGAGGTGGGGACAGAGCTGTAAAAAAGCAGTTTTTTATGTAATCCCCATGGTAACCATAAAGAAAATATCTACAGATATATACAAAAGGAAACAAGAACAATTCACTCAAAAAAAAAAACAAAAAAAAAACAGAACACAAAAGGTAGGAATACAAGAAATAAGGAACAAAATGCTCTAGGGCATATAGAAAACAACACAATGACAGAAGTCCCCTGTGTATCTGTAGTTATTTTAAATGCAAATGGATTAAACTCTTCAATCAAAAGATTGGCAGAATAGATGAAAACACAGATCCAACTATATGCTATCTACTAGAGACTCACTTGAGATCCAAAGACTTAAAGAGTTGAAAGGGAAAGGATGGAAAAACATATTCTATGTAAATACAAAACTAAACAGCATGAATGGCTATATTAATATCAAAAAACAGACCTTAAAACAGGTTACAAGAGACAAAGAAGGACAGTATAGGACTTCCCGGTGTTACAGTGGATAAGAATCCTCCTGCCATGCAGGGGGACCCGGGTTTGATCCCTGGTCCAGGAAGATTTCACATACCACAGAGGAAATAAACCCCAAGTGCCACAACGACTGAGCCTGTGCTCTAGACCCCATATGCTGCAACTACTGAAGCCTGAGTGCTGCAAGTACTGTGCCCATGTGCTAAAACGACCGAAGCTCATGCGCCTAGAGCCTGTGCTCTGCAACGAGAAAAGCCACCACAATGAAGGGTAGCCCTCGCTCACCACAACTAGAGAAAGCTCACGTGCAACAATGAAGACCCAGTGCAACCAAAAATAAATAAATTTTTGAAAAGGACAGTTTATATTAACGAAAGGCTCAATACATCAAGAAGATAAACAATATAAACATTTATACACCTAAAGACAGACTCGATGGACACAAGTTTGAGCAAGCTCTGGGAGTTGGTGATGGATAGGGAAGCCAGGTGTGTTGCAGTCCATGGGGTCGCAAAGAGTTGGATACAACTGAGCAACTGAACTGAACTGGATGACAGACTATCAAAACACATGAAGCAAAACCTAACAGAACTGAAGAGAGACATAGGTCTAAAACAGTAGCTGGAGACTTCAATACTCAACTCATAAAAATGGAGAGAATAATCAGACAGAAGCTAATGATGGAAACAGGACTCAAGCAATGAACGGATGACCTAGATGTAAGATACACATGCAGAACACTCTACCCAGTAACAGCATACACATTCGTCTCAAATGCACATGGGACATTTTCCAAGGTATATCATATGTGATGCCACAAATTATGTCAATAGATTTTTAAAAGATACAGTCCGAAGTATTCTCTCTGAATATAATGAGATGAAGAAATCAATAATATAGAGAAAACTGGAAATGTATTTACAAGATTGTGGAAATGGAACAACATACTTTGAAACAATCTATGGAGCAAAAAAAAGAAAATCACAAGAGAAATTAGAAAGTACTTAGAGATGAATGAAAACGAAAAACACAACATACCAAAACTTATGGTACATGGCAAAAATGGTGCTAACAGGGAAATTTTTAGCTATAAACATGTTAAAAAAAAAACCCAGGAATGTTTCCAACCAACAATCTAATTTTGCAATTTAAGAACCTAAAAAAAGAGAAGAACAACTAAACCTAAAGGCAGCAGAAGGAAGGAAACAATGAAAACAAGAGTGTAGATAAACAGAAAAGAGAAGAGAAAACAAGGTCAGCGAAACCAAAATTCTTCTTCAAAAAGATCAACAAAATTGACAAAGATGGACTTAGATGGACAAAGATGGTCTTAGATGGACTAAGACAAACAGAAGGAAGACTCAAATTACTAAATCAGAAATGGAAGTAGGGACATTTCTAACAATGCTAAAGAAATAAAAGGGATATTGTAAGACAGTGCTATTCTGTGCACAACTGTACACCAAAAAAAAAAAAAAAAAGACAAAACAGACACCTAGATGAAACAGACAAATACCTAGAACACAAAACCTAACAAAAGTAAATCAAGGGATTCCCTGCTGTCCAGTGGCTGAGATTCTGTGCTCTCAATACAGGGGTGGGGGGCCGGGTTCGATTCTTTGTCAGGGAACTAGATCCACATGCTGCAATCAAGAGTTTGCATGCCGCAATTAAGATCTGGTGTGGCGCAATAAATAAATAAAAATAAGTATCTTTAAAAGAAAAAAAGACTAAATCATTAAGAGACAATCTGAGGAAGCCAGAGCGTCAGCCGCTGGTGGTCTTAGACAGCCCAGAAACGGGGCCGGGGAGGCAGCCCTCCACCCAACTCTTCTCAGGGATGCTGCAGCAGGTCCTGCAGGGCAGCCTGGCAGCAGATGGGTGCTCGGCCACCCCAGCCTTCCACACCAACTTCAGCCACGTGGGGCTGTGCCTGCGGGGTGCACGTGCTGCCTGGCCACACGTGGTACTGATCAAGGTGCTGTGTGTCCAGGTGAGCCACGGACGCTGTCTCAGCCTTCTACGCCTGTATGAGTAGACAGTCTCCTATATTTTCCAGCGAAAGGATGGTATCATTTTGGACCTGAAAAGAAATTCTAGAATCTGTATGAGTGGTCTGATGTACTAGTCTTTGGTATAGCTGACCATCTTCAGTTTGTTCCTGTTCCCTGGAGAAGCACTTACACTGGATCCTGGCTTTCCACAGATTCTTTTACTTTTTATAACACAGTGGCCATAGCACCCCAAAGTCAGCTTTCACTTCACCTTCCTTAACATAAAGGAGGCAAATGTAGATGAAAGGGCCCCAGAGAAATGAGAAATCAAGGACTCCCTAAAAGTGACTATTCTTTTTTCCTTAAATACAGAGTGGATGGTCTGCAGATAAAATACTCTGTTACCTGTTACATACTCCATTTTAATTACTATTCCACAGACCCAACTGTTTTGTAATTAGCAATGATAACTTTAAATTTTATTCAGTCTTTTTTCCATTCTGATCTGAAAGTATTAGTTTTATAATTTTTTAATTTCTCTAATGTTTTTGTTTCTCTAATGCTTTGGTTAATATAAAGAAGAGTGGCAAAATGATATTTCATAATCATTGCTATTTCTATTATAATATTTTAATGCCAGTTGATTTAAAGAACACCCTTTTTTGATTGTATACATCCCCTTCCAAAGTCTCAAGTTTCTCCTAAATGCTTCTGGATCAAACTACATTTTATACCAAAAAGAGAAGACACCTCTTGATCACCTGGATCTGCAGGCTCTGTTGAGGTGATTATTTAATTTACTGAATAAAAAACTGACTCAAAGAGTCAAGCAAAATGAAGAGAGAGAGGAATATGTTCCAACTAAAAGAACAAGGAAAAAAGATTTCAATAAAATAGATAAAAAGAACAAGGAAAAAAGACTTCAATAAAACAGTTTACCCCCAAAAGATTTTAAAGTAATGATTATAAAGATACTCACCAGGAAGAGTTCCCTGGCAGTCCAGAACTCATGCTTTCATCTGCCATGGCCCCAGGTTCAACCCCTGATCTGGGAACTAAGACCCCACAAGTCACACAGCACAGCCAAAAATCAATAAATATTGAACCAGTGACAGCAGCCTCACTTGAAAAATATTTTAAATAAGTAAATAAAATACTTAGGCATAGATCTCTCCAAAGTGGTGAAAGACTTAAATGCTGAGAATTATAAAACATTAATGAAGGAAACTGAAGATGATTCAAAGAAATGGAGAGATATCCCATGCTCTTGGATTAGAAGAATTAATATTGTTAAAAAGCAAAGTAATTTACTGGTTCAATGCAATACCTATCAAAATACTCATAACATTTTTCACAGAACTAGAACAAATAATCCTGAAATTTACATGGAACCATAAAAGACAGAGAATTGCCAAAGCAGGAGGCATAACCTCCTGTACTTCAGACACCACAAAACTAACCAAAACAGCCCAGTGTTGGCAGAGAGAGAGAGAGAGAGAGATATACAGACCAACTGAACAGAACAGAGCGCCCCCCCAAAAAACCCACACACCTACGGACAATTAATCTTTGACAAAGCAGGCAAGAATATACAATGGGGAAAAGACAGTCTCTTCAGCAAGTGGTGCTGGGAAAGTTGGACAGATGCATGCAAATCAATGAAGCTAGCACACACCCTCACACCGCACACAGAAATAAACTCAAAATGGCTTCAAGTTGTAAACATAAGACAAAACACCCTATGGTTGTGATAAGAAAAAAAAAATAAATTAATTAAATTAAAAAAAAAAAAAAAAAGACAAAACACCATAAAAATAGAAGAGAACATAGGCAAAACATTCTGACATAAATCATCCTAATGTTTTCTTAGGCCAGCCTCTCAAGGCAATAGAAATAAAAGCAAAAATAAACAAATGGGACCTAGTCAAAGTTATAAGCTTTTGCACAGAAAAGGAAACCATAAACCAAATAAAAAGACAACCTACAGACTGGGAGGAAGTATTTGCAAATGATGCAACCAACAAAGGGCTTAATTTCCAAAATACACAAACAGCCCCTACAATTCAATTAAAAAAAAAAACAAAAACTACCCAATCAAACAATGGGCAGAAGGCCTAAAGAGACATTTCTCCAAAGAAGATATATGGATGGCCAACAAGCAGATGAAAAGAGGCTCATCATCAGTCATTATTAGAGAAATGCAAGTCAAAACAACAATGGGGTACCACCTCACAGATAAGAATGGTCATCATTTAAAAAGTCTACAAATAATTAATGCAGGAAACAGTGTGGGGAAAAAAAGGGAACCCTCCTATACTGTTGGTAGGAATGTAAATTGATGCAGCTACTATGGAAGAAAGTATGGCGGTTTCTCAAAAAATATAAAAACAGCATTGCCATATGATCCAGCAGTGCCACTCCTGGGCACATAACTGGACAAAGCTATAATTCAAAAGGACACATGCGTCCCTATATTCACAGCAACACTATTGACAACAGCCAGGACATGGAAACAGCCTGAATGTCACTGAGGAATGAATGGATGAAGACGTCACACACACACACACACACACACACAACTGGACAGTCCTCAGTCACCGAGAATGAAAGAGTGCCACACCGCAGCAATACGAACGGACCTGGAAATTATCACACCAAGCAAGGTAAGCCAGAGAGAGAAAGACAAGGCCTTCCCTGGGGGTCCAGTGGTTAACAATCTGCCTTCCAATACAGGGGACGTGGGTTTGACCCCAGGGGGGCGGGAAACTAAGCCCACGTACCACAACTAGAGAAGGCCACGAGCCCCAACGAAGACCAAGCACAGCCAAAAAACAAAGACCAGTATCACATGGCATCGCTTATACGTGGAATCTAAAATATGACACAAATGAACACATCTACAGAGTGAAAACGGACTCACATACAGAGAAGAGACTTGTGGTTGCCAAGGCAGAAGGGAAGGATTGGGCGTTTGAGATTAGCAGAGGCAAAGTACTATATATATAGGATGGAGAAACAACAAGGTCCTACTGTTACAGCACAGGGAACTGTATTCCATATCCTGTGATAAAGCACAATGGAAAAGAATATACATATGTATGGATAACTGAGTCACTTTGCTATACAGCAGAAAATAAACAACATTGCAGATCAACGATACTTCAATTTTTTAAAGACAATGGCTAACAACAACAAATGCAGACAATAACAAGCATTGAGGGTATGGAGAAATTTGGAACCCTTATGTGTTACTAGTGGGAATATAAAACGGTTTAGCTGCTTGTGGAAAACATATGGCAATTTCTAAAAACTTAGCCATAGAATTATCACACGACCCAGCAATTCAACAACTGGAGTATATCCCAAAGAAATGAAAGCAGGGACTCGCACAGAAACCTGTATACCCATGTTCACTATAGCATTATTCACAACCGTCAAAACATAGAAGCAAATCTACTATACTTCAATTTTTAAAAAAATTTAAGGTAGAAGCAACCTAAGCGTCTGTCATCAGGTGATGGATGAATAAAATACAGTATAATCATACAATGAAATATTGCTGTTGTTCAGTTACTAAGTCGTGTCCAACTCTTCTCAACCCCATGGATTGTAGCATGTCAGGCTCCTCTGTCCTCCACTATTCTCCTGGAGTTTGCTCAAATTCATGTCCTTTCAGTCAGTGATGCTATCTAACCATCTCATCCTTTGCCACCCCCTTCTCCTTGTGCCTTCAATCTTTCCCAGCATCAGGGGCTTTTCCAATGAATTGGTTCTTTGCATCAGGTGGTCAAAATACTGGAGCTTCAGCCTCAACGATAGTCCTTCCGATGAATATTCAGGGTTGATTTCCTTTAGGATTGACTGGTTTGATCTTCTTGCAGTCCAAGGGATTCTCAAGGGTCTTCTCCAGCACCACAATTTGAAAGTTTCAATTCTTTGGTACTCGGATTTCTTTATGGTCCAACTCTCATATCTGCATATGACTACTAGAAAAACCATAGCCTTGACTATATGAACATTTGTCAGCAAAGTGATGTCTGCTTGTTAACACCCTGTCTAGGTTTGTCTTATCTTTCCTTCCAAGGAGCAAGCATCTTTTAATTTCATGGCTGCAGACACCATCCACAGTGATTTTGGAGCCCCAGAAAGTCACTGTTTCCACTTTTTTCCCATTTGCCATGGAGTTATGGAACCAAATGTCATGATCTTAGTTTTCTGAATGTGGAGTTTCAAGCCAGTTTTTTTCACTCTCCTCTTTCACCTTCAAGAGGCTCTTTAGTTCCTCTTCACTTTCTGCCATTAGAGTGGTGTCATCTGCATATCTGAGGTGGTTGATATTTCTCCTGGCAATCTTGATTCCAACTTGTGATTCATCCAGCCTGCCATTTTACAAGACATACTCTGCATATAAGTTAAAACAACAGGGTGACAATATACAGGCTTGAAGTACTCCGTTCCCAATTTTGAACAAGTCCGTTGTTCAATGTCCAGTTCTAACAGTTGCTTCTTGACCTGCATACAGGCTTCTTAGGAGAAAAGTAAGGTGGTCTGGTATTCCTATCTCTTTAAGAATTTTCCACAGTTTGTTGTTATCAACACAGTCAAAGACTTTAGTGCAGTCAATAAAGCAGATGTTTTTCTGGAAACCCCCCTTGCTTTCTCCACAATCCAATGAACGCTGGCAATTTAATCTCTGGTTCTTCTATCTCTTCGAAACCCGGATTGTACATCTGAAAATTCTCGGTTCAGATGCTCCTGAAGGCTAGCTTGTAGGATTTTGAGTATAACCTTGCTAGCATTGAAATGAGTGCAACTGTGCGGTAGTTTGAACATTGTTTGGTATTGCTTCTTTGGGACTGGAATGAAAACTGACCCTTACCAGTCCCATGGCCACTGCTGTGTTTTTAAATTGCTGACATATTGTGGAGAAGGCAATGGCAACCCACTCCAGTACTCTTGCCTGGAAAATCCCATGGACGGAGGAGCCTAGTAGGCTGCA